GGAAAATTTAAGGAGTTATTATTATGTACGTTTAGATGATACAACCGGTAGGATACTTTTGCACGTTACTGTACATGGAAAGCAAAGGCAAGTGTATGATAAAACCTTGTTCATGTTTGATGTCATTTGCTCTTTTAATATAAGCATAAACACTTCTTCAGGCAGCTGTGAAAGAATGTCTCCAAAGAGTATTGTCACATGCCAGTGATGAGGAATCCTTAGATGATGTGCTCAAGCTAGTTTTTGATGCTGGTGCAGATACGAAAAAAACTCCGCCAGACAAAGTAAAAATTCCACAAGTCTTTCCAACTCTTGCAGAAAAAAAAACCCTAAAAATGCAGAAATGAGATTGTTAATATTATATGGCAAGGTCAGAAATACAGATTAGTGATTTATAATAAATCAATTAATGTTAAAAATTGCAATTTCATAAGTAGATTGTTACGGTCGGAAATTAAGTGGGGGCTTGGGGAGAGCGATTTATCTTTCGCGTAGGTGTGTTCGCTGACCGGGGGACGTTACCAGGCTTAGCTCGTACTATCGCTCTTACTACGATAGTTGTACGATTAAGACTGAATTAAGCCTCAAGTGACCTATTAATTAATTAATTATGCGTGCTCTTCACTCCCTATCCAAGTTTCAAACACTCGTGAATACAAATAAGAGTACCTCTGATAGAATAGTAATAACAATCATTCTACTAAAGAATCGAAGGGGAATAAAAATTAAACAGGGCTATCTTCGATTTGTTTGTCGACTAGTCGGTGTCTTTACTAAACTAATTAAACATTAATCGTCTCGATAATTGATTATGAACTCTCGTTCCGTTATTCACCTAATTGATCAGCAGACAGCTTACTAGCTTGATCAAATCAATGCTATTCCGTTATAGCTTAAGTGAGCCGTTTCCGTCTAATAATTAACTATTTCGACGATGAAAGAATTAAATTATATTTATAATAAAGGATTGTGAGGGAATACTACTAAGATCAGTAGTATTATTAATTTATATTAACGATTCGCGTTCCATTAATTAATAAATATGCCAGGTTATATTTTAAATCTTGTCGCCTCTTAATAAAAACTTTTCTAGAGATATTCATAGTCTTGAACTAACATTGAACCTGACAAAGCAAGCTGCACTTTATTTTACATGTACATTTATCTCAGCAAATCCACAATTAAATATTTCACGTCAAGATTAGATAATATTGTACACATGAAGAAACTTGTCAACAATAATGATTGTTACCAAGAACAAATTTTTATCATAAATTAGATAAAAATAAAAATAAAAAAAGTCGCCAAAGCCAACCAAATAGTCTGAAGAAGCGTATAAAATTAAAAAGAGCAATAACATTATATGTCTTACAGTTCCAACCCCAAACTCCTTGACACAGTCGTAGTTAATAATATTAATAATAAATCCATTGACCTCGTTTCGTAAGACCAACAAAATTGTCAACCTCTATCACGGTTTTACTTTAAGTTTTCTGTAAGTTGTATTTTATAGCCACAACGCATCGAGGGAACAGCAAAAGGATTGATTGCAGCGACTTTCGTTCCCGTTGCCGATTCCATCACTGTTTCACTTAAGAAGCTTTCCACTCTCCAAATACCTTCGCAAAATTTGCTCCAAAGTCCCATGGTTTATGTAACAATTGGAGTTACGTGTCACATTTTTGTATCTTCTACTGTCAAAAAAAAGGGAGACAGAAAGAGAAAGACATACAAATAGAACATTCGCCGTATAATAATTTTTACTGTTGCTGTAAACTTTATATTATCTAAGCCACACTTTTGTCTCCGATGCTATAGATAGTTGCGCGAATGATGCACAAGACTCCATGTTCGCTTGGGTGTGATTTGTCGACTGGAAAAAATTTTTATTACTCATATGACGTTACTAACATTCATTGTTAAATCATATTGAGGAGAACACAACAAATATTTTGATGTTAGTATTTCTGTATGAAAAAGTGAGTATCTCGCCGATGTACATTTTTCATCAAGCACTATTATAAACGGCATTCCACGTGTTGTCATCAGAATAATCGTTTCTCGTTTTTCTAATAAGCAAATATTACTCCAAAGTGTCCCCGCATCTGGACGCCTATCAGGATCAGCATCACAACACCGCTCGGCAGTTTCTTGTATTGGGAATCAGGCATCGATGGTCGCAGTCCGCCCATAATGTCTACTAAATCCCTATCGAACTGCCTATCTCTAAAAGGTGATTCACCAGTAGCAATTAAATACATATGAATAAATTTGCGGATATGGAGGACTTCCGGTGCAATAAAGGGTAAAACGCCTCGAATGGTCTTTCTGGTTCCTCTTTTAGTGCCTCTGAAACCCACATATACTCTTCTATTAACAAAAGTTACCCTAAATTCCAACCCAAAACCCAAAAAAAGTGCACCCCAAAAAATTTAAAATTTCATATTAAAATAGATAAATTTTCATTTTAATCCGACAATTATTGCTTACCTCGGAAATAAATAATTCCGGCGTTTCATCAGAACTCTTAAATCGTTTGAGTAAAACAGTTACCTCTTCCTCTTCCTCTTCCTCTTCGTCTTCTTTTTTATAATTGGCAGTGTAAACTGTTCCATAACCACCAGATCCAATCTCTTTGGGTTCGTAAAAGTCGCTATACTGAATGTACTCAACATTTTTGTTAATTTGCGTAAACTTGTCCAATATCGCATGTAGTATCCCGAGTAGATGGCTCCTGAGTGATCCCAAATATCAAATATTCTCGGGTGTTAATATCTTTGGGTATTCCTTAGCTAGCTATTTGAGTAAACGCATACAGTCGTTACAACACTGGTCGATTTAAACGCGCGATACACGCATTAATAATACTATTTGCATTTTACACGTGAAATAATTTACCTGGTAAAATTTTTGAGTGTCACACGTGTCAATTCATTTGTTGTCCATTCTGCTATATGTGTGTATCCATGCCGTAATAATGTCATCTCCTGTACGTTTGTCAACAGAGAGTATTCAATCCATGTATATATGTATCATTGTATTCTTCCATGACTCCATAATAAATGAATCCAAAGACTCGTTGTCAGTAGTCCAACCTCGTAGTCTTGGTGCTTTACAATGCATTCATCTTGGGTTCTAATTGACTTGCACACACCAGACATGATTCATACTCCGATTTCTTCTGTTTACTTGCATCCGTGGTAAGAATATCTGGATGCTCATCACATAACTAGTGGAAATGATACATGATAATAAGTCAATAATTATTTAAACTATTCAATAAACATGACGCATAAGTAAATGGTTTACCTCGGCATAATATAAATCATGTGTCTCGTCTGTTATCTCAAGTGGAATCAATGTAACAAGTTGATCATTGGTATTGGTAATAGGTAGACCACTTAAGTATGCATATTTTTCCTTATTATCAACACCATCAAATGGAATCCATTCTAAATAGGCATCATTTGCTGAATTTGTTTGTGATTGAGATTTCTTAATGAACTCATCGAGTTGCTTATTTTTGCTAGTCCATCCATCGGATAATTGTTTATTTCCACATATGCACCACACAGGACTACATCGGAGTATTCCACACGTGGAGCAGAATCCATAACGGGAATAACAGTGGTAAAACTTTCTATCAGCAACCATATAATAGTTATCGTCATTCTCGGTAAAACCCAGTATTAGTATATTGCGCTTCTTAAGCCATGTGGAATATCTTCTGAACTGACTAACGTCATTATTGTATTTGTGTGTTGGAAGTGCGTATATTTTAGCAAACTCACTCACAAACGTTGGTGTACATTCTTCGCTGTTTCCAAGGCATAGCAGCATTATCTTGTCATCGTCGTAGCGATTAGCGTAATGGACGGTAGAAATTTGAGTTGGCTCTATGTTGGCAATTTCCTTGTAAGGAATCCATTCAAGTCTTAATTGCTCATCCTCACTTTCCAAGGAGGATTGAACCAAGTTGCTAATTGCTGGATTCTTAATCCCTGGAACTGCTGACATCGTTTGAATAAGAAGTTTTCAAGTACAATATTTATACGACTTTATTGCCAAGCTGCAAAACAGGCTTGCTAAAGCTAGTTTTAAAGACAGAGGTGCAAAAAAGCAGGGAGAGTACAGCGTTTATTGTGTTACATCACACGTGTACAAATTTATAATTCGATACAAGATGTTTATATCGCCAGTGCTTCATAATCGGTATGTTTTCTAGTCCACTATGACGGGTTTAAAACCCGAAACGCTAAGACAAGATGAGTAGAATAGAATAGAATGGTTTATCTCTTCTACATGATTCAAAACCATCTCTGATCTATGGTGATTTGTTTATTTGGAGTAATTCTTTTGTTTATTAGGCGCTGTCTATGTCCGCTAGTTGCAAACAACATATTAACGGAATTTGCAATCCAGAACATTCAAATTATTGGAAAAGGGGAGCTTACAACTCAAAACTATAAGATAAACAATTTCTTGAATAATTAGCGCGAAGCATATTTACATTATTATTTTAAAAAAATCGGTCATTGGTAATGACAAAGGCAACCCCGTTATAACGAAGGCGTTCCGTCCGGGCATTTTCCTTCAGTACAACGGGTCTTTGGTATAAAGATTATATCATGATACCGATTTCTTCGGTTAAGCATAATGAAGATTAAATAAATGCGCATTTAGCTAAAAAAATAATTCGCTTTATTACTCGATGCATTAATATTAAAAATCGGTCAATTAATTGTAAAGTCACCAAGATTAGTTTGAACCTTCGAATCGCTAATCGTTTTGCATAAATTCTTTTTTATCTTGTTCAATTCACGCGAAAAACCTTCCTCCTGTGCAATAATGTTGTCAGTTTTTATTGGTTGAAAATTTTTCTTCCTTCGGTTAACAAAGGATGATCTTCGGGTTACTGCAGAAAATTCGGTTTAACGGGGTAAATTTGTTATTATTATACTTGTTCTAAAAAAAAATCTTCGGATACGGGTAACAAAGGATTTCATACTAAAATTCGGGTTTTTGAAATTCTTCGTTACACCGAGATATTGTTATAACGGGGTTGCCTTTGTACACATTTTCAAAGTAAAGATTAAAATTAACTGATTCGGTTTATTATATTGCTTACAGAAGAAATAAATATAAACAACCGTAAAAAATATATGCGCGTTTTATAACAAGTTAGACTATAACATATAAAAATTTTAGTCTCAATCATTATGTACACTTTTGAGCAATTAATAAAGTTAGGGTGACCGATACTTTTTCCAGGTAGTGTATGAATCAACATTTATACAATATATTATACTTTATAGACTGATAAATAATAAGTACGCAAGCAATATTGATATTCACACCAGACGGCGAAGTATTACGTTCTTTATGCATCAAAGACGGATATTCTACGAGTAGCTAAATGACCACAAATTGCCACTTTGATTCTTCCATGCTTAAAAAGTGTTCCGCGTACTTAACGTAGTTATTAATACCCATTTCTATTACTCAAGAGTTACGTGTGTTTCTCAGATCACAATTGATATATACGGTACTTACATATTTGCTACTCTGCGAGCAACAAGTTGTCGTATAGTGTTGACATGATGAAAATAATATATAAAGAGAATTAATGCCAATAGATTATAGGTAAATGGGGAGGATGTTGTAGGAATAGGTTGTGAATCTGTTAGAGACGGTCACACGTTTTGTTTGTCTTGAATGAGCGTATATTTGTAAAAGAGGTTGTGGATAAACGCGGAAATGACATCAATACTAATTGGTTACTATGATCAATTAAACGCCCGATGCAAGCTGGACATAAAAAGTAACTGTGAAAACATCTCATAAACAAATTCTAATTATCTTGTTTGCACAATTAATTTTTGTGTGATTATAATGTGTGATTTCATGCAAATTGTCTTATTTACACAGATAATCCAAGCCATTTTATTATGTTCAAAATGTTGGAAAATGTTGGCTATCTAAACGGATAATTGGTGCTGGAAATGTGGATTAAGTGAAGCCAAGGATTGCAGCAATTCTAGGAAGAGCTCCAAGTACAATCCAGCATACTGTGAAAATCACACCAAGGGATAATCGGGCAGTAAATCTAAAGATCAACTACAGCCTCAACATCTAAGGAATATGCTTGAACTCATCTTCATGAGATTGGTTTCTATGGTCGAGTGGTATGGGACTAAACATAATTTTGGTCCTTATATTTAATGAGGTTAGATGGAAAGATAACAGCAAGGAATATTACAAAATTACTTGATTCCTTATATGAACACACTTGAAAATAAAGGAAAATGTAAAATTTCAAGTTTAACCCCACGCCAAGTCAAATTCTAAAAAGCGGACGAAGTATAGCCGACAAACGGTTACTCACCGCGGATACTTGCTCCAAACCAAACTCAGACCAAGCTCAAACCAAGCCCAGACCAAGCCACAAGGTAAGGACAACTATTCAATTCTTAGAGTTTCAAGGGTGAAAGACGCTGATTCCAAGTTGTATGTATCAGGAGTTGACGAAGTGGACAAGAAGATAGAGAAGATATGAAGAAGATGGAGATTAATATGGACAATATGGATAAGAAGATCGAGAAGGTGAATGAGAATGAATGCTGTTAACGCCAAAACTGTCCAAAGTCCTCTGTTAAATTCACAATTTATTTACTAGGGCATTAAATGGGCATTAAATGGAAGGGCAACTATCTTGTCTGTCCCTAACTTGGATTTATAATAAATAATGCTATTTAATATTTATTTCATATTCACACTAAAATGTAAGCATACAATTATCTTTATTGCTGTTAATCAATAATAGTAATAGTAGCAGTTGTCTAGAAATAGAAGACGCGCTAATGTCAATTAAGTATGTTAATATCTAGAATAATAGACTTTTTTTTTTTTTGATTTTAAAAAACCCAAAGTACGACCATAAAGAATACAAGAAAATTTCACAAGCGCTTGGCAGAATATAACGTTAACAGTCGGTATTAACAATGACCATAAAACCAATAATCAATCGTCCGTTAATCACGTTTGTTCCAACTCTGCGTTTGCTCTTCACTCTTCTCTGTCACCCCTGAGGATTTGCTTCGGCAGATATTCTCAAACTCTCTTGTCTGAGCCGTTCGGTACTCAACCTTTTCACTTCAAAAACTTCAGCTATCGCTTGCTTGAAGCATTGGAAATTATATTCAAGTAAACCATGTTTTCCATAATTCTCTGCCCGTAGAATACACACCAATGCAAGGAACCTAGATAAATGTAAACATGATGTTGAAAACCGTGTATTAATAAAGCTACTGTATTCTCAACAAGTCGTCACAAAGAAATTCAGCCGCGGTTCCTTTCATTAAACCCATGATTAACCACTACCTACCGATTAACGCCCTTCAAAGCCAGAACTACTCCATTAGTCAACTTAATAGTGGCCGCAGCATCGTCTGCTCTATCCATCATCACACTAGAATTTGTAGTTTCAGCCGCGCCATTCCCCTCCGCTCTTCCACCCGCGTTCTGTGCTTCCTCATTTATGGGACGGTATATTTCTGATACATCCATTATTACATCAATCATGTCACTACAGATTTCGTATGTTTGCATATCAACGGGCGCACGGTCAGTGGCTATGTAGATTTTAGAGTTTACGTCGAAGAGAAATGCCTTGTCAATCCCAGAGGTCTGTGTGATAGACAGTGTTGGTGTTTTGAATGAAGGAAAATTATATAAGTTGAGTGACATAAGGAAAGTAATTGAGAATACGTAATAAGTTTAGGAGAATAGTAAAGACAAAGGAATCCAACTTTCGCAATTTATTTCCGCCATTCTCCAAACTCCGCCTGCCTCACCTCACTTCACCTACTCTCTTTCACACCTTCACCCTTTCGTCCCTTCATAACATACCGCACACAAACTGTTCAATAAATTTTCCAATGTAGGCAGTTGCGGAATCAGTTTTTGTATAACTTTACTGAACGCTTCAAAAATCGAATGATCATAAATACTCGTCAGATGAAAACGGGGCTCGATCTCGAGCTCGGCATCACTGAGTGCATCCATCGTGCGTTGATGAATATTACGCTGAGTATCGAGCTTGTAGTCGTCGGACAGGGCATCGACTTTGTGAATAAAGACCTCGAAAGCGAGGTCTCTATTTATGCCGTAAGCGTGAATCATGATTTCATGCAAACGAGCCAAGGCTTCCGTGTAGTCGTCCTTTGCGTAAAGAAAGTCAGAAGAGCGGCGGTGAAAAAGCATATAAGGAGATGTTAGTGAGATGTATTAATAAGATGAAAAGACAGTAGCAGCAAAGGTGCAATCGATGATCTTGTTGACTTACTTGCGCGTCAATCACGAATATTAATGCACCATATTCACCAAATATTTCCTGCACATCAAATACCGGATTAAAGGGAAATTCTTGACCAGGAAAATCCCATACTTGAAAGTTAACAAACGATCTTTAATAATTAATGTTCGCGAGTTAAGAAACAGATATAAATTCTCGACATGACCAAATAAAGCGTCCAAGCGTTAATTTGATTAACAACACTCTCAATTATACTTTCACCTCATCCCTTCAATTCAATATCACCTCCTCACTTCACTTTCACAATGCTCTCAAATATCAATTTCTCGACTCGAGCAAATTCCCCATATCCTATAAACAATGCAAAGGATACGTTATGTTATCTTTTTCCAATCTCTGTGTACTTCGCAGATATAGTGTCTCGTTCGCAGGAAGCTTATGAAAAACTACTCTTCTTATACTCGACTTCCCGCTCCTGTGATGGGAGGGGTTGGTTGAAGGGTTTCAATTTGTTTATTTATTACTATGAGATTTTGTTAATATCAATTGTAATTATACTGATAAAAAAAAAGGACATAATGTCTAAATAATTTGCTCTATCTTACCAAGGATATTACTAAAATGTGAAAGATTGTAAAAAAGAACAGCTGTCCCACAATTATAAAATGATAAACTAATTACCGGCGCAGACCCATGATTAATAACCGCGGTCGATGGTCCTGAAACGAGTCATCGTCGAGAATCTCGTCAGTTGGACTTTCGTCGTATGATACACAGCGGTAATTAGTAAGACTTGTCACGCGTAGTTTGAATTGTGCAAACTAAAGCAGAAACCAGTCACTTACCCGTGTTCTGTGTGGGTGGCAGTGTGAAGACTGAACTCGTCACCGTCAGACTAAGAACACGCAAAATACTCTAGCATTATTTCTTTGACCTTGTAGGATCACCCTTGTTCTTCTACCTTTATGGTCACAGCGTTTCTGTCTGCCTTACATTAGACAACTTACCGACATATTGTTAGTACAGCGACTGTGTTTGAGGAACGGCTCGGACGGTTTTTAAGGTTGTTCCAAAAGGCTGAATGAACTAGACGAAAAAGTAAATTCGATCAAATGGTGTAATCGCGTTAGACCCAATAATCATAACCATATATGTCAAAGTAGATGTGATTGCATTCCTATCATTATCACTATCTGATATCTTTATCTTTATCTAAACAAGTTTAAAGTTGTCAACGACTGTCACAGGATAAGCGGGGAAATGGTTAAATCACGTGTCGTTATTACTATTGGTCTATTTCGCAACGGAACCAAATTAAATATAAACTGGAAATAATGATAATAAGTTTGCGTCTTATTTGATTATATCTTTGTGGATGATAACGATTTGATATCAAGTAAAAGTGATGATAATGTAACTGAGACATCAGTCCTTATTTACTTTTTTACCCTAGCTATTCTATGAGAACTAGAAAACATGCAAGTTAAAAACATATGGAGCAGTTCCCTCATCGAACGTTGTCGATTTGTGTACTATATTTTTATATACATATAATTTATGTAAAGGTCAAAGCATAGTCATGAACGTAACGGCCACATGCCATGTCCTTTCAGTGTTAATATTAAAGCAGCTTAATATTTTTTGACTTGGCGAATTTTGATCTTGTCAGAAATCTTATTATTATTTTTTTTTCTTAACACTTTCGGCATATACATGCAGCGTTATCTTATTGAAAAAAAAATAATAATTTTCTCATTAGATAAGGTTATTAAAGGCACAAAGGCCTTTTCAAATATTTATAGTTTATCAAAGGTTCCGTCATTTACCTGAAAGTATTGCCTTTTCGTTAATAATATAATATAGCAGCTAGAAGTTCCAAGTCAAACAAAATTAAACTCGCGTCTTTTTATGCTTATCCAAGAAAGAAAGCACTTGGAATCTTAAAGCTCAAAGGATCAGACGTTTATAACAAATATCTATCTGTTTGTTACGAATTTATGGTGGTACGATTTTTATAGTGAACTTCAATATATTCTGTATATAACGAAGATTATTTACAGATCTTCGGTATAACCCAAAGTTCATTATAATCAGGTTTGACTGTATTTCTTCGCTCCTTAGACTCATTCTCTTGTTGGTATTGATATACTGTCTAGTGTAACGAACTGACCCTTAAACAATCAATAAATATTTTCCATATCATAATATCTTTACTAATATTAATATAATAAAAGTGAATGTACCTATCCAAATTTGGGGGAAAAAAATAAATTGGTCACTACTGGTAACAAACATACACATGCAATATTAATATAATTCTTACAAATTTGTTAATGACCACTTTTATACAAATCTTCTCCCTTATTTTTTCTTTATTTTGAACCCACTTTCATAAAAAGTATACAGCTTACTTTGTGCTTTACTATATCCTTGTTCAGCCACTCAAGTGCTTTTTTAATATCTGCTTCTATCCCAATTCCATTTTTATATTACAGGCCAAAAATATATGTGCATAAACATTTCCTCCTTTGGCTCTTGATTGATAGAAGTTAGTTACATAACTAATGTCAATATCTGATCCAGCCATTTTGCTATAACATCTACTGTTTTTAACTTGCGCTGACAAATGTGCTTGTTTTACTGCATTCTGATACAGCTCAAATATTGCTTTTTTTTCTACTCCAATTCCACTGTTCAGCTGTCCTTGTTCAGCTGCTCTGTGATATAACATATAGTGAAAAATTTTTTTTCAGCATAGAATCTGTGTTATTAAATTTTACCCAATATACGCAGATGTATGCTAGTATGTTAATATATTTAGATTCTACGTTGGTTTTCTCTGATTCGAAAATGTTTGAATTATTATCCAAGCTTTTGATTTATATTGCAGAGTTAAATATACGTTTTATAATGGAATAAAGGCCCAATGCAATAGCAAGTGCCCACAAAGAATTTAATTTTTTTTGCAGAATAATTGTTTACAATATTGATGTTGGAAATTTAAAGGCGAAATTGAAATACAGTAGGTTATGCCGCTTTTATAACAAATTCACAGGTTCATCAAAACCGTGAGTTTATTAAACATAATTTACGACTGCGGACTTTTAAAACGCTCCTCCTAAAGTTGGGAATAAATTCAACGCTAATCCTGATGTCAAAGGTTCTACGAAATCGATGGCAAGATCGAAAGCGTTTTACACTTCACCATATCTCACCAGAGAATGAACGAATTAGATTCAAATAATAAATATGAGTTTATTCGAATATAAAAGGACTATTATAATTCTGTAATTGTCAAGGAATTATTTTAATAATCGAGGAAATGCTGCGTTATCAAACCAACAGAACTTTTGTCCCAATCTGGTTGTAGTAGAAATCGCGGAAGAATACGTCATCTATACATTGTCATGACACTGAGAATACTAATACAGTTATCATGTTCAACTGACACTTAAACAATCAATAAATATTTTCCATATCATGAACGTCATTTTATTTCAATAAATACTATCAATAATATCATTACTAAATATAATGAAAAGTGGATGTGTCTGAACTACTTATTCAAAATTTGAAAAAAGAATTGGTAACAAAAATATAATTCTTACAAATTTGTTGATGACCACTTTTATACAAATCTTCTCCCTTATTTTTTCTTTACTTCGAACCCATTTTCATAAAAAGTATACACCTTACTTATACTTTGTGCTTTACTATATTCTTGTTCAGCTGCTCTTTCATATAACTCAAGTGCCTTTTTAATACCCCCAATTCTGTTTTCATAATACAGGCCAAGAATATATTGTGCATAAGGGTTTCCTTTTTTGGCTTCTGCTTGACACAAGTCAGTTAAGACTAATGTCAATATCTAATCCAGTCATTCTGCTATAATGCCTACTGTTTTTAACTTGTACTGACAAATATGCTTGTTTGCTGCATTCTGATATAGCTCAACTGCTTTTTGTTAATTTTTTTCTACTTCATGACAACATACAGCAAGATTATATTGAGCACTGACACTTCCTTGTTCAACAGCTTTTTTATACCATTCAACTGCCTTTTGTTCATCTTTTTCTACTCCAATTCCACTGGTATAGCATAAAGCAAGATTATATTGAGCATTGACATCTCCTTGTTCAGCTGCTCTGTGATATAACACATGCTGATTCCCTTTTTTCTTTCTAGTATAACCAAATATAAATGCAAATACCACAAATTAATACAGTGAAAATTTCTTTCAGCATAGAATCAGTTATTAGTATGTTTAGGTGTCAACGTCGACGACAATACTGAAATCCAGAAAATACGCAAGCATCCGTAGTGTAACGTTCTAAGTCATGAGATGTTACTACTTTGTGTGTGTGAGTTGTATTTTTTCAGCACTACTAGCATTCCTATAAAAGTTTGAGCCTGCACCTACAAAGAATTACATTTCATAAATCACGGTTGTATTAAAGTTCAACGCTGCTATAACGTTTGGACCGCCTTTAACATATTGCCCGCTTTTTTTGATTCACGAATAGGTGCATATTTGTCGAGCGATTCAGCAGTTTATCATTTGCTCTCCACACTTTGTAACTCACTTTTCAGTTCCTCTAATTTGGTATTAGTAGCCAGTTTATTGAGACCAACTAAAATTTTAAAATAAATGTTTTTGGCCAGTCCTCATATCTTCATAGTGGATGGATGGTAAAGAGAACCTCTCGGAAATGGATCTTGTGGTAAAATCCACAGAAGGATGTGTTGTGTTTTACCAACATGCCGTTGGTTAGCGAGTAAATACTACAATCAGTAGTGAAATCAAACAACTGCACGAACTTATTCACTAAGAGCGGCTATAAGAAGTTTCTTAACAGACACGTCGAATTTAATCGCTTTTTCTTATTAACATATTCTTCGACAAGCACTATTATTAGTCACCTTCTAGAGCTAAAATGGGACGCATTCAATAATGCGTAAGAAAAGGCTGTATAGAAATTACTGGCTGTAGTTAATAATTAAGCAAGACCACGTGTTTGCCGGTCAACAAACTCTTCCGATAGTAACATAAAATTGGCACGTTTTCATCGAGTCGAATTTCTCGCGTCGTAATGAGAGAAGAGATCAAAAATCTAGTTTTTTTTATAAACTCGCTGCCTTTTGTCCCTTTAAACAATTAGTAATTAGTTTAACATATGGTTAGTTCTTGACATGCCCTTCATACCTCCTGGATTATTTGTGTGATTGTTGTAGTGGAAAGGAGCGGCTGGAAAATAGCTTGCATCAATGCTTGCATGAGCACACTTTGTCAAGTTATCTCTTCTTTGACGCAAATGGAATTGATGTCTACCAGACGAGGTAATGCAGCGAGTTACCAACATCTCTTATATCGAAAGGCTCATGCTGCGCTTGAAATTTGTGGCCTTTTTTTGAAATAAAACAAAGTCCCAAATTGGGGTGAACTTACGCCACATTTTACCCCACGCAGGGGTCAGGGTTGACTTTTGACTGGCTGATTTATAATTTGGATGGAAAACAATCCCTGAAAATTTTGTGAGACGTTAAAATGGATACCCTCTATTTAATTGAGGCCGAAAAACTCTTACTATTACTATTTACACTTACTTAAACACAAAACATTATAATTATTTACACACACAAAATAATAATGGAGAGCATAATTCACATAGAGTCAATACGCGACGCTCTCGTCAATATGCTGTCGGACAACACAGCGGAGGCTCGTTTGACAACTTACCAAAAGATTACTAAGGAGCATATACCTCACTTGTCAAATGGCAGTGTAGTCCTTGATATCATTTGGTGTCTGGATGCCGAATTGGCTGAGGGTTCTGTGGCCGTAAAGGATCTTGAGGCAACCAGAAAGAATTTGGCAAGTTTTGTAAGTTTGGTGAAGGTAAGCTGAATGTGGAGGATTTGGAAAGTAAAACAGTGTGAGAATATAGGTCAAAAGTAGTTGGAGCATTATATACGGAAAGTAAAACTCAAAATTCAAGTATTCGGTCGTGTGTAGTGTATACTGAGTCCAATAAGTTGAAAATAGAGATTGTCAGTAGAATGCTGGTGAATGGAGTATAGCAAGATGTATGCCTCTCTCACAACAGCAAAAGCAGCGTTATGTACCGCCTAACATCGATATTAACTATTCTAACTGACTCCATCTGTTTGTTTATTAATTTGTTAGGCCAAAGGTCTTTTCTCCGTTGAGCTTATAAAGAAAAGACTCGATTTCAGATGCCTCGAACTCGCAGGAGTTATAGATTCTGAGAAAGCATTTTTCCAAAAGTCTATAAGGATAAACACCCAAGTGGTGTAAGTATTTCCTTTATTCTTACACTAGTAACCTTTTCCAACAATGTTTTGGAACAAGTGCTCCCCTCCCGTTGCGGTCCAACAATTAAATCTTTTTCTACCACTTTTTAGGTATCGCCAACAAAAATACAACCTTCTTCATGAAGAATCGGAAGGCTACAGTAAAGTATTGGCCCTCCTCGCCTCTCTCACATCCCCTCGCGTTTCTGTCATCCTCGATTACCTCCGCAGCTTTATTGGGTACTTTGCCTTGGATCCCGCTCGAGTACTCGACATAATACTCGACTTATTTATTCATTCCCCGCATCGGTACGAATTTTTCCTGAATCTCATCCGAGAATCAGATTGGAATCCTATCTCGGTCGATGAAGATAGGGACCTGGAGATGACTGGAATAGGTGAAGATGGAAATTCGGACATTGCAGATTTGTTGGGACATAAATTTAAACAATATAGGAACGAGGATTTCGACGAGACTGCGCCAAAAGAGTTGTATCTGGTATCAGCTATATTAATAAGGGAGGGTATTATTAAATTAGAACATTTATATGGACATTTGGTTACTAAAGAACATGAGCAAGAAATTAAGCTTGCTTGCGCATTGCTGGATACATGCGACATTGATCACGCAAAATTGGTGATATACAATTTAGAGACATTGGACGATGCAATAACTGATAGACTATGTTCAATAGTACACTTGGCTATTAATGATCTTTACAATCGAGAATGTCGAATTGGACAAGAAGCTTCCAAGGAACAAGATATTGTAAAAGGCACCACTTTTTATCTCACTTACAAACCATGGAGGTCTGGTCTTCCTAAGTGGACTGTTTTAACGGACATTTTATCTCAGTCAACACAAGAATACATTCGTTTAATAGGAAGCGGCTTTTCAAGAGATTTATTATTATTTACAAAATTATTAAGACTTGCAAAGAGACATCTTATTGTCCTACAAAAAGACAATTCACCTGATAAGCAGGTCAAAGTTTCCACATGGATCGATACCGTTCGTACGGCATTGCTTCCAAGTATAACTGTTGGTGAACTGAATCCCGGCACAGCTGACGATGTCTGGGAAGTATTGTTGTCGTTTCCATACGAGATAAGATACAAGCTATATAAAGAATGGAGAGATAGCGTCTACGATCCCGATAAGAAGGTGTACAAGAAGCGTCTGGAGACTAGGAAAACAATACGTCAGGTGATGAAACGTATTACGTCCCAGAACGCTAAAGAAAAAGGAAGAGAAATCGGGAAGACGTCGCATGGTGATCCAGTAACAGTGTTGGCGGTTGTCATTGAACAGATACAATGGTATCAGAATATGATACCTGCACTAGTGGAGGCAAGCAAATATTTGACCTCGCTTAGCTACGATGTCATGACGTTTTTGATATTGGAAGCTTTCACAAACAATAAGAAGCAAAAGATGAAAGAGACCGGAGAGAATTATGAGGACTGGTTTAAAAGTAAGTAAAAAAATTGTTATTTAAGTCGCTATACTTTATACTGATTTCATAATTTCACTCTACCACCAGACCTGGCAGAATTCTGCGGAGACATGGCTCGCCGGTATTCAAATCTCGATATAAGAAGTATCCTTGACTATGTAGCTGTCCGTCTTTCAAACCCAACGGAACCAGACCTCCCTGTACTGAGTGAACTTATATCAGGAATGAGTGGCGTTAAAAACGATAAGGACCTTCTTGATGATGACTTGCCATATTTAGGAGCACACGAGACACTTCGTAAAGAGCGTATCCATTTGAAAATCAAAGATAAAAGCATCCGACGAAGCTCTGCTCGATTGGTAACTGCACTCGTCGATAGCGGTTTGGCCATTTCAATAGCAATATCGCTAGCTCAACTCAAGAAAGCAATAATTTATGGTGAAAAGCATACCGACCTGAAGCTGTTAAATAATAACATTGATGAATGCCAGGAAACATTAACTCAATATTTAGAATTTCTCGGTTTGAATATCGACTCGAAATCCTATTCATCCATTGTACCAACCGTTAAGGAGCTATGTTTGGACCACGGAATCGATCCAGAAGAGGCACTTGCAATCGTACGAAGGAAGTTATCACATATAGTCGAAAAAGGAGGACCGTCCACACCAAAACAAACTGACGATGAAGAAGCTCCAGTTAGTGTCTGGCAGCAGGAACTCACCGAGACAATAAGCGACGTCGAGCAAATCTTACCTTCGCACGTATGGCGAGGAATATCAGCTGGATTTTACACTACTTTTTGGCAACTATCTCTCTATGAAATCTCCTATAGAAAAAGCATATACAGCACATTTGTTCAGAAAGCGACCGAAACAGCAAAGAATTTCAAATCAGATATTGTGATCGGAATGCGTGAGGAACACGAGAGGCACGTCTCTCGAATAAAAGCGCGTCTCAATCAGGAAAAGCGTCAATGGTTCACCGAGAATCGTTCAGATGTGATTGCTACATTCTGGCAATATTGCATGTTCCCAAGGATATTATTCTCTGCTGAAGACGCGATATTTTGCGCACGATTTTTGGAACTTATTCAAGAGATTGGAGCAGACAATTTTACTGCTCGTCTGTTCTACTCTGAAGTTTTGAGTCACGAACGCTTACCAGAGGTTATTCCAAATTTAACGGAAGAGGAATCGAAACATTATGGTCGCTTCCTTGCATGTATATTGGAATATCTCACATATATTAGCAAAGACGAACGGAGATACAGAGATAAACTCCTCGGAATCGGACAAGCCGATTTCAAACCAGCATGGCTACAAAATGTTGGCGGTCCTGCGACAACTTTTGATCAATTTGTCAGAATACTCGAGAACCATCGCAAGCGTCTCATGATATCGTTTAAGAAGTGCTTGAAATCGAGTGAATCGACTAAAATACGCAACGCGATTCAAATTCTCCGTGCAATCAGTGATCAATTCCCAGCTAGCCGCGACCATAGTCAGAGGCTACTTGAGTTGATTCAAGTAATCGAGTCCGATTCTCGACCAGACATCAAAACGCTTGCGTCGTCATACAAAGCTATATTAATAAGAGGGCAGAAAAATCTCAGCAATGATTCACGCGCTACTCAATCTTCCAAACCGATTGAAGCCTCTAGTGTAAGTCGGGTGTCTGCATCTAATACACCCATAGAACGTGTAGCAAGTCCACGTCGGCAGATTCACCCTCTCCCCGACAAGCCTAAAAACGACAAACCTCGCAGTAATCGCGATAAAGAGAAAGTGGATCCCATTTATGATCGCGATAAAGACAAAGATCCGCGTAAAGAACACCACGATTCCCATAAAAAACCTCCGAATGATCATCTGCCTCGTGATAAAGAGTTCGAAAAGGACCGTAGTGATCGTCCCAAGATCGAGCGCAAAGATCGAGAGTCGCACAAAGATCGTGAACGCGAGAAGGAACGTGAGCGCGAACGCGAACGCGATAAACTTAAGGAACGGGAAAAACGTGAAGAACGTCGTGACGACCGTCGTGAGGAGAGAAGAGACGAGAGAAGAGATGAAAGACGAGAAGAGAGACGAGACGAAAGGAGAGAAACCCATCGTGATGATCGACGTGATGATCGACATGAGAGGAGGGATGAGAGACGGGACGTAAGAGATGATAGACGGGATAGTGAAATAAGGGATAGAAGCCGCGAAGAAAGATCAATGCGGGAGAGAGAGTCGGAGAGAGAGAGGCACAGAGATAATGGTAGGAGGCGGCACATGGATGATTCAAGGAGGGTTGTCTCGGTTGCACCATCTAGGCCTAACTTGCGTAGGCCTGTCAGTAGTGGAGGGAGTACTAATAATGGAACTATTAAAAGAGATAGGGATGATGATGACGGAATAGACCCTAATCCCAAGAAGATAAAACCTATGCCTGCTCCACCATTGCGTACGTCGCTTAGGGTACATGGACGGACTTTGAGGAAAGGCTGAGACGCTTGTACAATTAGATTATAATGTATATGCTGAACTGATTTATTACTGTAATGAGTCTATTTACTGGATAATTGTAAATAATTAAGTCAATAAACACAACAAATGAACGAACAAACGAATAAACGAGTGCATTAAATAAGTAAATAATATCCAAGGAGTGAGCTTATAATAGTAATAAAGACGTTATAATTGACAACTGTCGATGCAACATTTGTGCTTGTATTAGAGTCCTCAACAAAACCAACCCGCGGATCCCAAACAACGCTCTTTGGCTGCACAGCATCGAATTTGAATACAACGGTCTCCACTTCCTCTGAAGCAATGGCATCATCATCTGTTGGATCTCCATTTGTGAACTGCGGGGCGGCTTTCCAGAGGACATTTGTTTCAGCGGATATTCCCACATCTTTCCCATCTGCAGTTATAGTTTTCGCCCACTGTAGTCGACCGACGCCTGTCGTGTTGCTTGAGACAGTTATTTGGGCATCGTCTGAATTAAAAGATTTTTTGGAGCCAGAAGCAGAGAAGACCATATGGGCAATAGCTATTTTTGAGTTTTGATACTTGTATGGAAAGTTAGAGAAGGCGAGCGAGTATTTAACATCAGAGGGAAGAAGAGTAGCACCATTAATTGACTTTTGGGTTCTGTGAAATTTAAAGGTTGGAGAGGGAATGGGTTGATAAAATTAGCTTGTTGAAGAAAAAAGCGCCTAGAATTTATAATTGATATTTGTCAATGTTGTTACTAAGTTCGAATTGTCAATAATAATATTTACTCTGTAGCATAAAGACTAATTGTCGTGGTGAAAGGATTTGCTCCACCCAGATTGGCAGTCAGGGTAGTATTCAGAGTCTTTAGACCATCGTTCCCGTCATTGAACTTGATCTCATCCCACAAGACCCCTTTTCCAAAATAACTAAACACACTGTCACTATCTTTTACGGCAATAGTGTCATTATATTCGACTAATGCCACCAAAACAGCTCTAAAGGTGAATCCAGAAACAGTATCATTGACATTTTTGTATCCTTCAATTCGAATGTGAGGAACGTAATTTGTTGAAAAACGGAATCTGTACAGGCTAAAGACATTCGTGGTAGGATCCGTAGATCGAGAATTTATTACAATTATGTGCGGAAGCTTGGTAACGGTTATTTTTCTATTTGCATTCGCCGAGCATATGAGGGAAAATATGAGGAGAGAAATAAAAAATGGATAATAAGCAAGCTTGTGCATCTTTAGTTGTTAGTGTTTAAATTAATCGAAACAGTTGTTGGGAATGATGTCGAGGTATTTATTTTATGCAAGGTTTATGTAACATGCAATGAACATATGAAATAGAAAACACCAATCAATGTATTGTATTGCGTTTTGGGTTACCTGAATAAATTAATCCATAATTTCGTGTTTATGTGTCATCTCAACAATGTAGGCATGAGAATAATGCTACATACAATCTTGTCGTGTGCGCGATACATATTAATATCTATACAACCCATATTGGACAAGTCAGTCTTATTCAGATATTACATATAGAATTAAATACGCGAACAAAATCGAATCAGTGCTAGCCATTGAGTAAGCACCAAATTGAATAACATATTGTTCTATAATACTAATACAATTTTATATCGTTAAATAACTTGAGGCTTAGCTCGCTGACAATTTCGGTTTAAGTCAATTTTATTGCTAGAAATAATTATCAATCGCTCGCAGAACGGCTGAATATGAGAAAGAAAAGCCAGAATAATCGAAGTAAACTGACCAATCTTTAAGTGGATATACATCAACTTTATATAAATTTGTATTATCGTCTCTCCGTGATGCATTCAGCGTAGGCACATTGATTACAGGTTTGCGATCTTATATAGCACGTTTGATACATTGTGCAGCTGTTGTAACAACAAAGGAACATGAAGGAAGCGCATGAATAAATGCTTATGAGAAGTTATTTAAAATCTAGCAAATGCTCTGGCGCTTGAAATATACTTACTTACAAATAGGTATCATCTGCACACAGACGATGCACTCTTGTGCACGACCGAGCACAGTAGGAATAAGTAAAACAATGAAAGAACATAATACGAAGAAATTTGACATTTCGTATCTATTGGGACGACGTTTGGTCAGTGTTCCAAGTGAAATGAAAAATACCCAGGCTGGCAAAAGCCCACATATACGTGTGAAGTTTTGAATTCAGGTGATTATTCGTAATTCTATGGGACTGATTGTTCAAATTTAAGCGGCCAATAATATTCTGGCATTGTACAGTTTTATTGGGACTCGTTCGCCAAAAATATCTACGGTCAAAACTGGATATAACGATACTTCTGTTAGGTCACATTTTCATTGTTATAGCGGGTTATCGTTAATATCAGGAATTCTATTTATAGCGATAACATAATAGTTACGAAAAACATATCGTTATACAAGATATTATCCATCTTGTTTGATATTCGGTTTTATTGAAAAAAAGATTCAATGATATTACAAACTATATCTGGTAACAAAAAACCGTCTAGCATTGGTGCGTTAGCATTTGTTTTCGTGAGGAGCGTACTGTTGATACAGTACTTGCATCGCAATTAAAACCTGCGGATGAACGAGAAAATTGAACACATTATCCAAGCTTTCTATCACGTTCTTTATGGAAACAGTCTCTTCCTCGCCGTCACTCTCCGTGTCTTTAGACATCGATTGAACAGAACCAACAATTTCTTCATCCGTCATTCCTCGAGTCTGTATGTCATTATCGAAAGAAACAAATTCTACAATATTCATTGGATGGTTAGTATCGAGTTCATTAATTTGGTGAATTCGTTTATTATTATTGTTTAGTATTAGACATTGAAAATCTGACGGGTATACTAATATTCGAATGTCACACAACAATATCGGTATAAAATATATAAATTGCACGCGAGTTATCGGTTTTGAGCAGTATCGGTTCGATAGAAAAAACAATTTAAATAAAAAACGGTACAAAACCAACGCGAACAGCCGTCCAAAAACGCGGCGGCTGGAGCCACAGTGGCTAATCCACAGTGGCCGTGGCTGTGGCTGGCGGGCGGGTGTATACCCGCCAGCCAGCCACCGCCACCGGGGGTGCTTCTAGGTGACTGCCATGCGCAAAAACGCTGTCCCAATAGCAATGTTAGTGTCGAAAGCAAAACAAATTCGTTTTCCCATTTATGCAAAATCCACCCCACGCTTTCCCAATCCGAAGAAGGTTGTTTGTATAGAGATCGCTTCTCCTACTTTTCACAAATCTGAATAGATCTGGTATTTGCCTTGTTCATTCATCATAATAGCTAGTTTTGAGGGATGAGAAAAGGAGAATCTGGGATCATGTTACGAGTTATTATTGAAAACTTTGGATTACACATAGCCTATTTAAAATGTTAGGTGGAGAAATGTTACTGTAGGATGTCAGAGGGTATGTAATTGGAAATCTAGGTAGAGTGTATGTGTCATGGTACGACATCATTAGCATTGCCTTGACTCATACTAAAATTCGAATACACAAAAAATTCTTACGCCACACGTATTGTTCTCCGAATTACTTCTTTGATCTTTGTTACACAATCCGAGAAAATTTCTTGCGTTAGTAACTACCCAAACTACCCATTGACTTTCAGGAATTAGTAGAACACAATATGCCCAAATCAAAGAGAGCAAAACTCGGTACGCTAGTTTATCAAGCGTCTTGTGCTGTATAGAATTATATAGTGACTAACAATTACTGTTGATAGTTCATTTGACTGCAACTTTGAAGAAGGGAAAGGAACAGAAAGAACAATTAGTTGATACCGTAATAAAAATTTTTTTCTCGCTTGGAATCACATTGATAATTGTGAAAATCTGATTCGAGGTTCTGTTGGTTTTCGTTGCTAATAGATCAGGAAGGCTGTCGATGATTATAAGTTTATTTGGTTATTTCATACAGAGAGTTCGAGAAATGGTCCTATAAAACGTGTACGAGCTGAGTGGAGCTCGAGTAGGTAAGGTTTCATCTAGTAAGAGGAAATGATTCGATTGACAATCTCGATTAAGCTATCACATACATGATATCTTGTTCGTCTTTTCAATCAAGCGCATTCTGATTCCATACTCTCTTTCATCCGTTAGAATATTCTGGGGTAAAAACAAAGTAATGGCTATAGCTCTCGGTACAACGCCAGAATCAGAATATCAATACAATCTCCGCCTCATCTCTCAATGCTTAACGGGAGAGGTTGGTTTGCTATTTACAGACATGCCAGTAGATAAAGTACTTTCGGATGCAAAGATGTTTACGGAATCGGTCTATGCACGTACTGGGTTTATTGCGACTGAGACAATAGTGATTCCAGAGGGACCGGTAATATTGGGAGATGCGCCGATACCGCATAGCATGGAACCACAACTAAGGAAACTGGGAATGCCAACTATTTTAAAGGACGGTGTTGTAATTCTGCCAGTAGATTATGCTATCTGTCAAAAAGGGAATGAATTGAGTGCTAATCAAGCGCATTTGTTGGTAAGATTTTGGGTATCTTTGGGAATTTGGATGGGGAGAAGAGAGCGAGGTAGCTTTGAACGTAATGGTTAATTGTTTATCTTGTTGTTTTTTACTCTCATACATATTTATACAGAAATTATTCAACATTAAACTGGCACAGTTCAGCGTTAAATTTGATTGCTACTATCATGGAGGAGAAGTAAAAAAAATTGACTAATCGAAACATTGAGAGGCGGATTCTATATTGTGGATAACTGACCAGCTGTAGTCAATGAAGAAACATAAATTCTGCACAATAGATAATATTAGAGTCGTCCGATAATGTATAAACCAAGCAATGTCAAGAACAACAACTATTTACTTGTAATATACATTCGTTATAATATTGATAGTTGATGTTAGGCAACGAACGAACCATGCTGTAAAATCTACTGACAGCACGATTAGAATATTGTCTTATTGATCTCGAAAGGAAGTTGACTTTACTATCAAATCTACCAATAATAGTAGTGGAATAGTAAAGATGTTTATGCGTCCTTTCTGAAGGTTGGTAGAAGACCAGAAGTGCTACGGACATTATTGGATATAAGACTTGCAAAAAGTGGCCATTGGCAACCGGGCATTTGACTGTGTCATTACATTATTTATGCAAATTTAGCATTATTTTATTACTTGTTTACACGCATATCTCTTTAATGTTCCAATTGCCGTCTTTAATAAATAATCCGGTTTGTACGGAACGACTTGATTTCAAATCACTTTCGTATAGTCTTCTATATTCTCGACGGGCATTGTCGTAAGAGAATCGGATTTACCTATTTTATCACTGTTACCAAATAATGGGGAAGACGTACATTAATGGTAATCGTCAATCTGAAAATATGATTTCGCAAACAACCACATACACCGATACATTACCACTTTATATTCTTTCAAGCCATCCTTTATCAATACGAGATAAGGTGTAATACCATCTTCACGATAGTTTAACAAAGCAACCATGCCATCTAATTCTATGCTTTCACCGATATAGAATTCCCAATCTATTATGATCAAAAACCGAATATTATAACGGCACAAATCATTACTCTGCTCCTCCCCTCCCTTTACAGATTATGACATGTCATATAACATACCTTTAAAATTCGTAAGAATTTTCTTAACATGGACTTTTGCCAATTCTTCAAACACAGGCGCGCGCTCAGGATTATTTTGTTCAAGATAAGCCTTGATTTTCTTTAAATAGCCTTTGATATAGGTCGTGTATGATTTCTTATCAAAGCTCGTCGATTGTAAACCGAATGCATTAATAACGTTGTTAACTTGTCTTGTGCCTTCTTCAAGCGATTCTTCTTGTTCTTCAGCAGAAGGGTTAGCACCAATGTCAACATCTACCCCATCTTTAACAGTTATCATCTATATATATGTACAGAATAGAAAGGTTTAGTTAAGCCATACACAGTGTCAACTTTCCCCTAAGACCTCTTGTAAATTTCATTACCTGACAGTCAATTTCAAAAAAGAAATCATCGACGTCCTTTATCTTATAAGCGTCAGAGATAAATTCGTCATCTATTTTCATATTTGAGAGTATTAATAATCCAAGTTTACTTATTCATTTGTCGAGTCTTCTTCACTCAACCCTATCCTCCCCTCTACGATAATGCTCACCAGAAACTATGTCTTTGTAGATAATCATCTCCGTTAATTGTGCTGGATGGATGGCAAAACGAAATGTGAAAAGTTTGAGAAAGTTTGTGCGTTGGAACGGTGTATCATTATTATTGGCTGGAGTGACTCCGCTATGAGTACGGATTTGAGTGTAGCGTTACTATTATTACAGCTGAGTTACTGTTAAATAAAGAAATTTGATAATTTTAAAATTTGAGGATTGATTCCTATATTGGAATGATCCGCAGGTAATCAGGCATATTTGAATCACGTGGTTTATTAATATCCTCATTTAAATAACAATCAATCACCTCAAATCCCGCGACGATATAATAATTTCATTTTTACTAATTAACTATAATACTTTATTACACTGGTATATTATTTCCAGTACTAATATCAAATATCTGAGAAAAAATAAACAAAAATAAATGAACTACGACGAAGGCGACGTGTCCTTAGACGTAAACCAACCAATCTTCGCCCTTACTCAATACACCACCAAGTCCACTTTCCGGGATCAGCCAAACCTCCCTTTGGTTTCTGCTCCACCTTCTTCAGCTCAACAACAAGCACCTCACTCAAATGTTTCGTCATTTCCCGGACTAGGTCTTGCCGTCGGCACGACCTTCAACTCCTGGGAAACTGTCGACGAATTTTTGCTGGCCTATGGCCGACAGCAGGGCTTTGTTGTCCGCAAAAAAAGGGTCGAAAAGGACGACGCAGGTTTAGTTCGAAAACGCACGTATGATTGTGAGCACGGTGGAAGATATACACCAAAGAAGAAAGCACCGTTGAGCGATCAACGAAATAGGAAGTCGAAGAGAATTGAATGCGGTTGGCATATTAATCTAAGTTATCCCAAGACAGGACATCATATTACTGTAACAACATTTATAAATGAGCATAATCATGAATTGAATGGCGATCACGGTAGAAGAGAGCCTGGAAGATCAGGACGGATGGTTAGAGGGATGAATGGGCGTCATGAGAATAGACAAGGACTTTTAGCTGGGAGAAATTTAGAGCAAATACAGGCGGGGGCACAGCAACCACATGATGTAATGATGGAAGTTGAATCTGTGCAGGCAATCGATGATGAAGATGATGTTTTGCCACCGTTGGATCCGCAACTAGAACATATACAGAATTCACAGCAACCCTCATCTCAATCCCAACAACGAAATCAACAACAACAACAACATCAACAACAACATCATCAGCAACATCAACAACAACAGCAACAACAACAGCAGCAGCAGCAGCAACAGCAGCAGCAACAACCACTGCAACAACCACTGCAACAACAATCACTGCAACCACAGCAGCAATCACAGCAGCATCAACCGCAACAACAGCAAAAACAACAGCAACAACAACAACAGCAACAACAGCAACAGCAACAGCAACAGCAACAGCAACAGCAACAGCAACAGCATCAACAGCAACAGCAACAGCAGCAGCAGCAGCAGCAGCAACAGCAACAGCAACAACAACAACATAATCACATATCTCACACAACGACAAGCTCCTCAACCTCCACACCCCATTTCGCCACAGCACAATCTCAGACACAAACACCAACACCAACACAAACACAAACACCAACACAAACACAATTCACCTTTGTTCCTGGTCGTTACCATCGTCCATCCTTGCTTTCCCACCAGGCGACAAATTCCATTCATTCACATCCAAAACATCGATCTGCATCAACCGCTTCGTCCACAAACAATACTGCAATTCCACCCCAAATCCTCGAACAAATAAAGTTCTATACGTTTCATGGAAACCTTTCATCGTCCACCCAACGTTCGTTGTTGAAATGCAAATACCCTAACATCTCCATTTCAGTGAGAGACATCACAGCCGCAATACAGAGAATGCGATCGAATGGGGAGAGAATGGGTTCGGAAAGGTGGGAAAGTGTATCGGAAACGGGCAACGTTGCATCGAATAGTAACGATATGAGGAGACTGTGGCTTTCAGAGCTGTCAAGACAAGCGACGGCAATAGCTATTGAGTGCGTAGATGATAAGTATGAACAGTTCTTGACGGATTATATCAAAGAGAAAACAGGCGCGAGGTGCGAAAGAGAACAATAACGGGTTTCGGAGAGCGTGTGAGAGGACAAGCGATGTATGCAACATAGACGCTAAATATGGAGTACAGGAAAACGGCATGCTGGTTTTGTTTGTGCATTAATTCTATATACATATACATATATATATATATATAATGTTCTCGTAGGTTTGTTCTATGAGCAATTCAACGAGGGTTATTGTAATTAAAATTCTCCCCACTTCTTTTAAACGTAATAAAAGCAACTGTAAATTTTCTCTTTCGGGTTTTATAGAAAACAAGTGTCTTACTGGGGGGGGGGGCGGTGTACAATGTGTGTTTGGATTTACGTTTGTATTAAAAAAAGAACATTCGATAGGAGTACAATTAAACTTTTTAAAAACATGCTTTCAAAATGATCAAAGAGTTTAATAAATTATTTACACAAAGTGATAAAGACTTTTTTCTAACTTTTAGTCGTTATCGCCATTGTTCTCATCCTCCACCTCAGTATCACTCACTCTGCAATCCCGACCCATCGACAATCAATGCCTTCAAAGCACCAAACACCAACTCTCCAACCCGATCATATCCAGCAGGAGTAAGATGCAGTTTATCGAAATCCCAATATTCATCTACTTCCTCATCTGAAAGAGACGCCAGTGGAAAGTCACGAGCAAGATCGTAAAAGAACAAATTGGAAGAAGAAGCGGGCGTTTGCGTACGGGAGGCAATGTAGGATTGGATCATTGCGTTACTTTGTGAACGGGATATATTGTTTCGTGAATTCAAATTCACCTTTGGGCGGTGGGGGAGGGACGGAGAAAGTTTAAATCGGATGTGGTTTGGATAGAAATCGTTAACGAACACGAGAATTGAATACAACAAGAGTCACTGGATGTCACCCATAATGGTTCGCTCTCAGCATTCTTATGACCTACCCATCCATTTTCCAAAATAGACAATGCAAGTACTTTTGAGTTGTATTCTTCGCAAATATCATACATTTCTTTCAAAGACGCGAAGATGTCGGTTGCAGATGATGAAGCCAAGTCATTTGTTCCTATCGAATAATAGAGGCTTGTTACAGAATGTTCATAATTCGATATTTCAAAAACTTGGACAAAAAATACAATTTATTAACCAGCCATTATTACAACCCAGTCGATTTTATTCCCTATATCTTCCCTTGCTGCTAAATATTTCTGCAACCGCTGCTGCATTGTACCGGCGCAGACACGCTCACCCGAGACACCCTTTTGCTTTATCTTTTCATGACAAAACAGAGGAACTTTTTTTAATTTTCTGGTTTGTACTGCGACTTTTTCTCAACTCTCAAGTTTCCTACCGTAACATCAATTCCGGCTTTATCGAACAGCTCTTGCAGAGTTTGAGCATATGGATGAAACACAAGACCATATTGCGAGTAACCTTCAGTGAGTGAGTCACCAATAAGAAGAATGGAACAGGGCATTTTTAAAAAGCGGCGTAGGTGAATTTTCAAATGGCATCGTAATAGATTCCCTAGGCAACATTTCGTGATACAATAATAATAAATCAATTTGCTATGGAAAAGACATCAATCCAACAAAAAGTACGGGAGATTGTTACAGGCAAGCTTCGTTCTGGATAACATTACGAGTTATCTATATATAGCGTATCTTTGGAATCAAAAAACATGCCGATCAGCTTGTGAACTAGGAGGAATAATTGAGCAATGGGAATGTATTAAAACGACCCGTCTCCACCATCATGTCATTAATACCTTAATAAAAACAGACAGCGGTCAATTTCCGACCAAAACTTTGGTCAGGAAATTGAAATAGGCAACAGCTGCCAATGAATTCGCTCAGTAAATATGTCGAAAGACAGTTCGCTGCACAAAGCCGTCGTATTGAGAAGAGAAGCCCCTTTCTAATTGTAAAGACTTCAGTAATGTCAAGATCGTATGTTACCACAAAGTTGTTACTTTATATCAAATCACGCGCTGGGGTTCCCATACACTGCAGAAATATTTGTGTATACATATATTATCTTTTTCCAAGCTGACAACGATTTGCCAAATGACAATAGTTGATAATAATCTATGTGGTCGTCTTGTATCTTGGTAGCAGTAAACTATTGCAATTCAACCAGTCTTTCACACTTGGGTCAAATTGATTCATCATAATCACTCAACTCTATTACCATTGAATATAGGATAATTCAGGTAAGAGCCAAAAACAACTGGTATGCATTTAGGATCATAAATCCATTGTTATTAAAAAGCATGCAATGGAAAAAAAATTGGGGCATACTAACACCAGATACTGCAAACAAAACCAGACAAAGTGAACATTTATTAGCTTATATAGTTGATAAGTTTTAAGGAAGCTTTGGTTTAGTGGCACAATTGTGTCTAATTATAATATGCAACTAAAATTTGGTCCATGAATTCAAACCTATATTACTATGAGATCAAATGTAAATTGGAGTTGAGGTAAACTTTGTACTTGAAGTTATCCATAAGTGTTCTGGTTTCAAAAGAGCTTGATATTGAGAGGCTTCTCTTAGTATTTGGTGATATGATTACTGGATCAAGCTCCTGTTGATTCTGCAGTATCTAATACATAACAAGTGATGCTCTCTGCACTTGAAAGAATGATGTCCTAATGTTCAAGAATGTCCGAGTTTGTATGCCAATATTCTTCTATGTCTATCAAATACTTACATGCATCATCTATTAAGTGGAATTTTTATCTGTGAGTATATTCAGAAGCATTGCAAGTTTTTTGCTTTATAAATGCTCTTGCTAGATGGAGCCATTTTGTAGTAGAATAACTCTCAGAGTTGGCAAGTGATTAAACTTATAATTATATAAAATAAATAACACTAAAAATAAGCTTTTGTTTTTATTTTACATGACATGAATAAGTCCAAAATTGGGAAAGTTACATATACACAAACTATGATAATGATTAATTCTATTGGAAAGTCATATTGACGCATTAAAGTTAATATGTTAACCTGTGTGAAAAACATATCATTGTGAGTTATAGTCAGAAACGATGATTTACGCTTTTATGGTTTAATATTAATATTAACCATTACGTAATCATGTGATTCTGGGAAATACTGTATTAGTATAGTCAATGTATTTGCCGGACATATCTGTACATATACGATATTATCCGGCTCTTCAAAGAACGGTTTTGGCGCGCTTGAGTATTTCTCTATTTAATCGGAGAGATTTATTATTAGACTAACTCGGTAAGCAAAAAGCATTTCCAAGTATACATTATCAATACGGATTACAATTTGTTTCAGCAAAGCCGAATTGAACGTTTATTTGAGTTTTTTTTCGTCGTGAATTAATATTAGAAACATCAGACTATAGCCAACCACAGAGTAATATTAAGGCATTCAAACTTTTTTCTTTTTCGATCTGTCCGGCGTTATATCAGTCTTCATTTCGTCGGGCGGATCGCGTTCAGGAGTTTTGGAGGAAACAATCATTCCATCTTCCAATTCAAATGATAGGCGTTCGACAAGACCCTGGAAGAAGTACTTTTTAATCTATGATAATGTGACGATAATCCCCCGAGTAATCAAATAAGTTAAAATCAAACCTTAATATTCCATGCCCATGAAAGAGCAAAACGTAAGTTGCCAAATAACGCACGAGAGAGGGGTAGATTGAATGATTTTAAGAGGTGGAATCGATATACATCACGTTTTTCCATCATATATATTCGTATCTCCGTCATATATTGCTGATTCAAGACAAAAATTATATTTTAGCCCAAGATTATCTAGTCATCAAGAAGGGTGAAAATCTCACCTGAATTCCGATAGTATAAAGATTTGATGCGCGTATATTTCTACTCCGACAATTTTCCAGCATGTCATCCAACGTGTCTTTAAGCATCCTTGGAAGATGATATTCATCGGATTCCCACTTTGTAAGGTCATATTTATGAGGTCCCCCACAAGCCAAACCACAAACAACTTCTTGTTGGTTGATCTTGCACGATAAATCAGCTAGATGGCCCCGTTCAATCTGATATTCTAATGCATTTTTGTCGTGATTCTTTCTTCGAGCAGTCGCAATTACTGTAACCTCTCCCCTAAAAGTAATCCATAAAAACTTAGGTACTGAGTTTAAATTGGGAAAGCGAATCGATGCATAACTTACCAAGGAACACGACAAACAGTGTTTAATGTCAAGGCGCCTTGAAATATAGGAATTATATAACCTCCAAACCATTCTCTCTCTCCGCAATCATTTTGCTGTATAGGGTTATGCTCGGATTCAAAAGCATCAAGACTAAAATCCTAAGTAAAAGATGGGTTCAACATAATCCAAACACAAAGCAAAAGACTTACAATGATCCAACAGCACGTTCTGCCCAATACAAAATCCTTTTCCAATCTTCTTTTTCGTAAGGAGCATTATCATATTCTGGTACCTCTAAATTTCTTAAACTTTCCCATCTCTTACGATATTCATTAAGTTTCCATCGTTTCTACAAATCACGACAATGTGAATATTTGTAACCAATGCACAAATGTTCATAAGTTTTCATTATTTCTACAAATCATAAGGACGTGAATATTTGTAACAAATGCACAGATTAAAAATACTTACCTTTTTACTAGGGGGACCAAATAGATGATCACAAATGAATTCAATTTCCCTATAATATTCAGGTTTCGCTGTAGCAGGTCGGTCAGCTATAAGCTTTTCCCATATTTCTGGCTCGAAATATCTCTCTATTTTCGACTTGGGTGTAAGATCGAGGATGTAGCTATGTGCTAAACTGCACAGGAGTAACAGATCAAAAATTATTGAAATGCACATAATCCGTAATTGATCCAAGATTTGCATAAAAAAATCTTACTCAAACTTCGAAGTCGCTTGTTTTTTACAATATTTTTCCATTGTTAAAATTATATTGAATGAAGAATCGTTATAAAAGGGACGCAAATCGTTGGTCACAGCAAATGACCGCTTGCGAATGTTCTGAATGATGATGGATATTAATATCAACGCAAAATATTAATGAAATTGTTACACATTTAACTATTTAGACGTATAATAACGAATTAACACCTCTTGTATCCCATTTTCTTTTTCAATAACCTGGTAAGATCCATCATCAACAGAGGAAATAGCTATACTTGTATTGCGTACTTCTTCAATTGCGTTTCTGGTTGATCTATGTTGCTATAAAGTTTCATCAAAACTATTGCAATGTTTTTTTCCTTAAAATTGCATTAAATCTTACCTCTAATGCTTGTAAGGTGTTTGCAGATGTCACATTTCGACATACTGTTATATGGAATTCCCTTCTTTCATTTCGTAGTTCTAATTCATCGATAAAAAACTTTACATCAGCTGAAACGAATGACTTATCAAAGTTTGTTAAAAGTCTTCTTGCTTTGTTTTTTGCATTCTCATGAAGGTGGACGTTGCGAGTGTCTCTGAAACTTTGTAAAGCTGAATATATTTCTCCTTTCACGACCTCAATCATATCAGCGTTTATTTGAGATTTTGATTTAATATATTCTAGAATGGCAATAATTGACCAATCCTTGCATGCTGCATTTTCAAGATATTCATTTATAATTGGTTCGAACATCTTAATCTCCGCAGTAAAATAATAGTAGCATTAGTGAGTAACTGAAAGCATAAGTATCATCACACAGCAAATTGTTAAAAGAAGATTGCAAAAGTCGCGGTATACTGGAAACAGCATGTCGGGGGGAGGCAATGAACACGCATGCTCAAGGACATTCCTACAGGGTGTTTCCAAACATCTAACGCAGGACGCAGTGGCCAGACGCCAGTAGGTATACACAGTACATCCTGGATACTAGCATGTGGGGGGAGGCAATGAACACGCATGCTCAAGGACATTCCTACAGGATAGCACCAAACATCTAACGCAGGACGCAGTAGCCAGACGCCAGTAGGGATATACGCGACTGAAGCTTTATAAAGTCAGCATGTTGCAAATATTGGCTTACTTTTTTACGTTCCAAGAATCTTCTTTATGGTAATATGGTGAATTGTATCTTACTCGGCAAGTTTTATTTGCGCGTCCCTCGGTAAAGTTACACGGTAGGAATAGTCACATGTGTACCACAAAGTATGATGTTTGCTTTCATCATTATCATTGATATTTTTATAATGAGTCAGTGATGGCGAAAAAAAAGGGCAGTCACATGATTGTGAAACTTGTTACCCAATCATGAAGAAGGCGTATCACTCAAAAATCATGTGACTGCCTTTTTTTTCGCCATCACTGACTCTTTAGTAAATACACGCTGATAAGTCATAAGTCATATCTGCAATATCACTACAACCAGAGAACCGTTAACCGTTTTGCGTTTTCTTTAAACCTCTTCGAGTGAGGTAGGTTTTATACTTTTTTTTTTAATTTCTTTTCGACAACTTTGCTAAGAACGAATGACGCGTCTGCGATAACGAGTTCTATCGGAAGCCAAGTAATTGGCAAGTCATCGTCTAGGGGTGGCCGGCTGACTTCGGAATACAAAGTTGTTTGGTGTTTGTTGAGTACTCAGGGCGTCTGCGATAACTGAGTTCTATCGGAAGCCAAGTAATTGGCAAGTCATCGTCTAGGGATGGCCGGCCGTTGAGTAAACAACAGCACACTTCAAGGTCATTAATTAACTTTTAACAAACAAAATGCACTCATCTCTCTTTTTTTATTAAAATGCATAACATACCAAGTATGATTTCTTCACGGACGAAAATGAAACAACGCCACATATTTTGGATGATATCATATAACAATCCGACTCCCCTAGAATTCTTTCGTTTTATCACCCCAACACATAAATCCCGTGCAATTGAAAAGTACGGGAAATGCCTTGATGAGGCTATTGATTTCTGTGAGGACTCGGACAAAGAGTCGAAACTAAGAAATCTCAAAGAAACTATTAATGTATATAATCAAATTTGTTTTACTTATAGCATATTAATATTGTATCTCTAACATATACTTTCTTCATTAATAGTGCAATTCAGATTGGGAATTGTGGCTTATAGAAAAAAAATCGGTGCGTTCGATCACAAACTTTCAACTAAGTTCGCAACTAACTATGATAACTTTTATCCGATAGAGGTCAATTCGTAATGAAATTCATGAAACAAATGTGGAAGTACACCAAGAATTAAACACCCTTGTCAGGAATGGAGGAAGACAAAATGTAACATTATTAATACTATGAATTAGTCTTTTATCAATTGTGGATGCATATTTAAATTTTTAATTACTGTTCAGCAGAATAATGAAAATGCCGATGATGAGGAAGGTAGTAACAATAATGATAGCGTCAATAACGAGGAAGGCAGTAACAACAATAATGATAGCACCAATAACGATAGAGGTAGTAACAATAATGATAGCGCCAATAACGAGGACGGCAGTAACAGCAATAATGATGGCACCAATAATGAGGAAGGTATTAAAAGCGACGAAAGTGCCGACAGCGGTAATATAAATGAGGAAGAATATTTAGATGAAAACAAGGTCCGCATCTTTTATTTGCAATGCATACGGATATGATAAGAAAAATATTAATTCGTTTTGTCTTATTATAGATAATCGTTTATGATATTCTTGATTGCGATATATCAGCAACTCAGGCTGAACTAGATATTCTAGAAATATATCGTTCAAAATTCAATAATTATCCTGCCATGGACCTCCGACTACATTCAGAACTATCCCTTTCCTTAGATCAAGAATTGCAAGATAAAATTCTACATGAAGTTTTCGATGAAATAGACAAGGATTATATAACAGATGAAATTCATAATTTTCTCACTGACTTTTTTAATGCTGATCACGGTAAACAAGGATGGCACAAATCAGTTCGGAGAATAGTCATTAATGAAAAAGACTCAGAATTACTGCAAGGTACAAAAGAACTGCTTAAGGGAACATTGGGACGATTGTAAGTAAGAAGTTTTAGAGTATCCCATTTTACAAAATTACTAATACACTATTACATATAGTATAAAGGCCTTCTCTTTAGATGCACTAAACCCATTGAGAGATATTATGATGTTAGAAAGACCTCATCTCAACCAATTTATACATCCGTTAATTGATAATGCATTGTGGATTTTTGCAAGTGTTAATTATATATCGTAAGTTGAAACTGTCTTTATTTCTCTCTTTTTGATTTTCTTAGAATTAATTACATAATTTCATTAGTGGTGAGATTTCTTTGCAAGGAAAAGCAAAAGTCATGGCAGATGGTGTTGGATACCTTAATGATGTCTCAAACTACCAAATTGTTTGCATGGAAGGGGCAAGACCAGGGGCGAGGAATGAAAAAAATGTTAACGATGATAAGAAGAACATCAAAAGCATGATACAACTGTTTAACTATATAATTGTAACAGAGGCTTCAGAACGAAGACAAGTATACACAGGCCTTCGAGTATATGGTGCAACTGCTTGCAAAACTGAACTCTCCCTTACAATGCTTGATTTTCGTGGTATGTAATACATAAAATTTCATAGTGATGTCATATATAGCCTAACTAATTCAATTTTATGTGATTATCAGGAACATATCGTTTGTTCGAAGTGGACCGTTTTAGTCTCCCAAAAGATTGGGTAGATATGCCTAATTTCGTTTTTATGTATGAAGCTCTAATAAAGTGGGCAGTAAGTATATGCACAAATTTATCATCTGTATTTCAAAATATCACTATTTGGTAATGATAAGATAATTATTATACAGTTGTGTGTCCATTATACGAGAGAAAAATTGATTGCTCAGCGTAAAAAGAGAAGGATGGGAAGATACTCTGAAGCAAGAATTGCCAAAAAACTCATGGGTCTAACATGACTGATTTATACAATGTCTATATATGATTTACTTTATACCAATAAATAATTCATACCGAAAATGTATTGAGATTGATCTGAACCAATTGTCAGGATCAAGGCTTAATACAACGTATTCCTCCGTGATTTCCGCTCCGTCACACGAAAATCTCCGATTCCGCAGTACACGAAATCCAAGTAACACAGCCACCGATAATTACGCAGCATTGTGCGGATGTTGCCAAAACGGGCCAAAAACTTAGACAAAACGTACTAGTCCGCTTATATCCATAAATCTAGACGGATATAAATAGGTTGTCCAGATATATCCAAAAGTTTAGACAAATAATCTAGATGTTCGAAAAAGGGAGAACAAGGACTATGTACAACTTTCCTCATATATTCGAAAGTTTAGACAGCTAGTGAAACGATAATAGTTATAAATACGAGTCGTGAATAGTAGTTAAAAATCATCTTCAGTACGGATCAAGTTCTCAGATCAAATAATTCAGCAAGACGTTGCTATTAGATAGTTCTT